CATCGCAATTTTTCCTCAGTTTTTGACGATCGACCTTCATTTCGTGCGAAAGGGCTGCTCCGGCACAAGTAAGATGAGAATGAGAAGATGTGAAGATGAGCAGATGTGAAGATGAGCAGATGTGAAGATGATCAGATGTGAAGATGAGAAGGTGTGAAGATGAGAAGGTGTGAAGATGAGAAGGTGTGAGAGAAGGTATGAAGATGAGAAGGTGTGAAGATGTGAAGATGAGCAGATGTGAAGATGAGAAGATGTGAAGATGAGCAGATGTGAAGATGAGAATGAGAAGATGTGCAGATGAGCAGATGTGAAGATGAGCAGATGTGAAGATGAGCAGATGTGAAGATGAGCAGATGTGAAGATGAGAAGGTGTGAAGATGAGAAGGTGTGAAGATGAGAAGGTGTGAAGATAAGAAGATGTGAAGATGAGAAGGTGTGAGAGAAGGTGTGAAGATGAGAAGGTGAGAAGATGAGAAGATGAGATACAGACCCCCCCTATTGGAAGAACCCTGCACTCACACGCTCTCGGGAAAAATCATTTTACCATAGCAAAAGATGAGTCACTTTACAAGGATCGTTGTTTTTAACTGGTTAATCATCTAATTTATTAGTCACTCTTAAAATTTACTAGTCAGTTCTTTTGCTAATCTATTAGTGTTTTTTTTTACTAGTTACCCTCTGGTAAATCAACAGTTCGACCCTGAAAATCACCTACTTTTAATGGTTTCACTAATCTTCCAACCCCCAAGTCATGCCAGGGTCGAACTGTTAACTTACTGGAGGTTGGTATCTAACCAGTCACTTCACCGAGCAGGTGCCTGCTTTTGCTGGGAGAATTTCGCCACCAAGGCCTCGCTGGTCAGAGGCTGGGGGTCTTGGAGATATGAAAGGAGGACGAGAAACTATATATATATATATATTTATATATATATATGTATATATACTTAAAAATCAAAGTATAGTATCAAAATATGTTGCTGTCGGTTCTTCGGAAGCCAGGCGTTTCGCAAAAACACACACACATGAACTTGATGAAAACTAGGCGATGTGCAAAAACTAGGCGATGCATCTGGCCTACCTTAAATCCAGGTCACTCCCGCTTGTTTACGTGGGCGCGAATTCTGATTCCTATACTACTTTGTTATCTCGATGCCTCGCAAAAAACTACTACGAAACTATAGCTACTATGTGTAAAAAAACAAACCACAAACCCTGTGTTCTGGAGTTGCTGGCATTTGCTGGTTTTGCAGGGTTTTGCGGATTTTTGCCGAATGTTTGCGGGGCGTTTCCGTCGCGTTTTTTTGCTTTTTGCAGATTCTGGGCAAAAGTGTTTTGATAGAAAAAGTAGGTGGGGTTGCGGAGTCAGCGTCAAAAAATGCTACTTACATTCGCGGGAGAGGAGAGGAATATGTTGAAACAATCAAAATTATCCAATTTCCATGGTTTCTGGGCGTTTCAGTTTTTGATGACGATCCCAAAAAAATCAGGTGACTTCGACCACAATTTTAAACAACCAAAAGAGTCAACATATTTTAGACGTTTGAAGATCCAGGTATATGCATGCATGGATGGATGGATGTATGGATGTATGGTATATTATCTTCAATTTTTCTTTATTCAAAAGAAGGCACTATATGCCCCTTGAACGACATCCATTGCGCTGGGGATTTGTTCTGATCTAAGATGACCCACAAAACACTTGGATAGTGTGATGATCAACATATCAAATCTCATTGTGGATACATTCTATTACTCCCATCCCTCTAGTATATATGAAGCATCCTGCTCAGTGTCCGCAAGTAATTATGGTAAATCCCCCACTAAACCATGGTTTCTGACGGATGTTTAATATTGGGAGGCACCAAATATAATAGTCCGCAAGTGCTATGTAACTTTCTCATTACTGGTCCCACATAATCCCGATGTAGCATTCATGGTTGGACTATTGGTTCATATTCCAATATGCTCCATGTATGGTATCTCTACCAACTTTTAAGCCTTAAACATGGATCCATATGCAGACAGATGAAAGAAACACAGTGCATGGAACATATGGATGTGTCTGAAACGCATGGATAAACATTTGCTATGCCACAGAGATGCTACTTTTTCAAAGGGAGAGTGATGATTCACAAACAGTATTGTTTTTGGTGCCCATTGATATCAAGCGAAGCCAGATGATGTACAGCGGCGTCGCCTGTTCCAACTCCACAGTCTTGGTTTTCATCTCCACCGCTAAGGCGTCCAAGCCCTCCTGAGATCATTGGAAAGAGTGACCACTCCATGAAGCATTCAGTTGGTTCATGATGGTTCTTGATGATTAATGATTGTTTATGGCTGTTCAATCAGCATCATTATTTTTTGTTTCACAGCTGGGGTTCTGATCCGCGGATCATCACCTTCTCTGTCTCTTCGTTTGGGTTCTCAGCTGTCCCTTTGACAGTAACACTTCCGGCACTACATGAAATAAACCGCAAAAATCCAAACCACCAACCCAAGTGACAAGGCAGCTAACTTGCTCATTAGTGGTAGTATATTATAACTTATATAGTTTAATATATTAAAATATTATATTTATGATTATATTATTTAAATTTATTTGTATATATACTATTATTATGTCTATATATGTATATCATTATTTATAATATTTATTATGTATAATATATATATATATACATTACTCAATATTATAAATATATATATATATATACACTACTCAATCTACCAACCCAGAATCCACACACGTAGTGGTCCGGAAAAGAAACTCAACTTACGATCCCAGTCCCACCGCCTGTGTGGCCTTCTTCTGCACATTTTCTTCCAAGGCCTGCGATGTTTGCACCAAAAAAAAGTGTGGTAAATCCAGGAAACCAAAAGAGTGAGTAATATGATTTCTCTATGAATAAGATATGTATATATTTATAAATATGTGAGTATTATATATATATATAATGTCATGATATTCATAATCATAGTGTTTAAATCTATTATTAATACAAGTGAATACATATATGGTCGACCCATTGATCAACAATTTCAGCCCCTCGGAGCCAGATCGGGAGTAACATGGATCTATATAGATATCAGTGATATCAGCATACTATACTTGACATATATGATTTAAGATTAAGTATCTCAAATATGTATATATATATAATATACCTATCAAATACAATTGTGTATTAGAAAAGTCACAAAGATTAGATATTTTGAGATCAGTGACTCCTCTTGGGATGTCTGGGTAGAAGGTCGCTGGCTTCACCGATGGGCTGAGTGGTTTGCACTTGATACCAGTATGGTTCACCTAAACACATCATATGTCAACCAGTTCGCTCCACCAGGCCCTTAGGGCGTGCCGTATCTAGTCATTGGCTGGCTCGAAACAAAAGCTCCGTATTCAAAAAGCATCTGGGCTTCGAGCAAGTCTTGCAAAGGTCCGTACACTTCCCCATCATCAAATGCAACAAACAGTTTCAGACCGTCTCCGGAACTTGGGGGGGTAATGAGTCTGGTGCGACAATCGGTACAGTACCCTACAGAGGAGACATGGGTAATGGGTAAGTAATTAAAACATGGCAAACTCCTCCTTGTTTCCCGGGCCTTGAGGATAGATTTGGAAAAGAGTGTTCACAAAAATGTCTAGTCTGCTGTAACAAACATTTACTATGGTAAACTCAATAATGAACCAGCTCCAAAATCACCATAAGTGGGTCTCAATAAAAAACATCCGCAAAGGGTCCATTATTGGGTTTACAACATCAATACAAATAAGGTGTGTGTGTGCATATAGAAAAAAAACTATTCCATGTTTATCCATTAATGTTGTTATCCTTTAAGATCCTTTAAGGTCTCCATGAGGTTGCCATCACATAGCCAGCCTATTGAAGTTTAACTATTCTCAACTCGTGATGAAACCCTGGTTTATGCCTCCTCCAGCGTCTTGCTGCGCTGGCTCATCTCTTCCCGAAGGGCCAGAAGCTTCTCATCGCAGGCCTGGTGTTGTGGGCGTGATGCGAGATGCCTCAACAGGAAGTTCAATGGTTGTTAGCTTATAACATTTTTAATACATGTTATGTATTAATCACCCATTAACATCCATTAACTACTTCGATATAGATATAGCTATCATAACTGGTTGGTGGCTTCAACCCCCTTGAGAAATATTAGTCAGATTGGATCATCATCCCAACTATTGGGGAAAATGAAATTCATGTTCCAAACCACCAACCAGTATAGCTATCATAATATAAAGCCTAGTTACTGGAGTTGCCCTTGGCACCACCTTGCATGATGGGCGAATGTTTCTCAACCTCAAGGACCCCCAATTCCATCGGTAATGCTCACATTGTTTACAGATGTTCACAGGTCTTTTGAAAAAAAACATAGTGATTCAAGGAATACCCCAAGTTCAAGAAACCTTATTATATGTTTTTGTTGGAAGGTCACCTACAAGCGTCAAGGGGTGTGCCAAACATTCTGGCGATTGAGGCGGCGAGAAGATCAATCAGTCATTTATAACAAGTATAGGACGCGATTTTTCGCATATTCTGGTGAATTTCAAACATATCCCACACATTCGAACTAACCATAAGATGATGGCCGATGCTTCGCATTCGACCATCAACACCAATCTATGGCTAGTTACGATCCCATCAACACCAAGTAAATCTACCATCACTCGAGTGCCTTCTAGGCACCCTTGCTGTCAGAAATTAGGGAGTATGCTTGTATATGTTGATAATTTATGACAATTTTCCTAGAGCTTTGTGCATGGCATTCATAATTTGGTTCCTGAAATTAATTGACATCCATTCATGCCCATCTATCCCATCTATGCCCATTTGCCTGTGAAATCGCTGAACATCGAAGGGATCTTTGCGATCTCAACTGTTTATCCCCGTTTCCAAGTCGCCTTTTGTATCTGCGCAGGATCCGTCAGGTGACCACGGACTTCAGACCTCGGCAGTTTGCCAAATGATGAAACATGTAGAGTTAGTTTATAGCAACGAAATCAAAGGTTTCATCAACCAAAAATGGGTATGGATTAACCTGATTAACCCACATGTGGGATTATTTTTATGTCGACCAGCGAATGGCTGGCCTATTTTGAAAGGACAAACATAGCGCTGGTCATTTTCACAGCCCAAGCTTGGCGGTGGCAACTCCAGTCGCAAGGGAGAAGATCCCACCTCGGCCCACCGGAATCAGTGGAAATGTTGGGGCTGAGAATGACTTGGAATGACTTACTGGTTGGTGGTTTCAACCCATTTGAAACATATTAGTCAGTTGGGATGATTATTCCTAATATATGGAAAAGTGAAAATGTTCCAAACCACCAACCAGCTTAGGTATCTCAAAAACTCAAGCGACATCAAGCGACTCTGCCATCCCAGCTGCCATCTTCTCACATGTAGCAACCAATTCGCTGAAGCTGATCGGCGACAAGGTCATGCCATCTACAGCTGCTAAAGCCCGAGGCCAAACGTCAGCATCATCGCTTCCTGATGGTTGAGCCACCCATAAATCAGGAAAATGGTGCTGTACCCATTGCTTTACTACTTCAAAGTTGTGCCCCTAATGCAAAGTTGGTTTGTCAAATCCATCTAACTATGGTTATAATATGTTATAATAACCCTAGTAAAGCCTAATTAAACGAGTTCTAAATCAACTTAGACGACAATGGGGCACCACCTGGTCAGAAGAAGACTGCACACCCTGTACTGGATGAACAAGTCCATGGCTAAAGGACGTAAGGGGTTCCTAAAGGTCATAAGGGTTTCTAAACAAGTTGTTTGTCATGATAAGGGAGGAAAGGGCTCATCAGGATTATGTACGCAGGGACGCAGAACCCAATGATCCCCAATTTATTGGAACTTAGGATAGATCAAACAACTACCAGTAAAACTGGATTTCATGTATTACATAGTATTATGGCCTTATGGCATTGTCATTCTTTTTTGGACATGGAAAGAACATCACAACTCAGGTCATTGCATGCCTCGTGCACACTACATTTTGGGAAAAAATCACGATGTAAGAGGGATCTAGTTGAATCGATGTTGTTTTCCATCTCAAATTCTAGTGTGGCATTAATGGCAGTAGTTCAACTTGGCGTTGAAAAGTCTACACTGTAATCCGATTTCTACATATGTTTAATCAATTCTCAGCCAGCCATACTTCTTTCATGGAGGGTAGCCTGTCTTATACATTCTCAGACTAGCTCCAAAACCATCCAGTAATGTACCTTGACTTTGAATTCACATATAATTAACCAGGAAAAATCCACAATTTATCACAACTCAGGCCACCCGTGTTTGAAGGTCACGCTGAGGCCACATCATGCACATCGGTAGAAATCTACCAGCACCATGAATGGTCGCCACGTCACTTGCTGCGCCACTGATGGCCGCAGAAAGGGCTTCGGTCACCGCCACGTCACCAAGTGCCAGGAGGGCAAAACCCTGGCGTTTCAGGACAGATTTCCAAACGAAATGGTTGTAAAAATGGGAGAACCACCAGGAAATTCTATGTTTTGAAGTGGTTCAAAGTGTTTTTCATGTTGATTCATGCTTATATATGTCTGTTTATTCATGTTTATCCCCCATTTTAGTGGAGGTTACCAGATCCAGCCTGCATCCACTGGGCATGGTTGGCCAGTCCACCCGTGGCCGTCTTGTACCTCAGCCATCAGACTAAAACCATATTTTTCCGTATTTAACTTCCACGATATCTTATTTTTCCTATACTATAATTCCCAACTCAGGACATGTTAACCATGCTTGAGATAAATCCCATATATATATACACACATTTTCTATGTGAACCATCATTTATGGTGAGGTCGGCGAGATCATGGCCAGGTCAGTCAGTTTTTGGAAGCTTCCAGCCAAACTCCAAACCGTTAATGCCATCGTTCCCGTAAATATGTTTACATACGTATGTATGTATGTATGTATCTATGTATGTATGTATGCATGTATGTATATGTATATGTATATGTATATGTATATGTATATGTATATAAATATGTATATATATATATGTATATATGTTAAAAAAACATAAATTTATGTATATATGTATATATGTATATAAGTGTATGTGTGTATATATATATGTATATATTTATGTATATGTATATAAGTGTATGTATATATATATACATGTGTATATATATATATATATGTATATATATATATATGTATATATATGTGTGTATATATGAATATATATATATATATATAAATATTATTTATACATGTAAATATGTGTGTATGCGAATATGTGTGAATGTAAAATTCATGTATGTATGTACCAGTATGTATATTTAAATATATATATATGTTAATGATGATTTATGTATATACACCAATATTGCCTGGCTTTTACACCATTTGTTTGCGCAGTTCCCATGTTTGGGAAAGCAAACAGGCATATGGATTTGTCTCAAAAAGGTATCAGGGTTCATCCATTCTGGCGGTCCCATCTTTAGACACACCCAATATATATATATATATATATACATATTTTTTGTGTGTGATGAAATAAGTATCCCATGAAAATCTATAAATAATATTCCATTTGATCCAGCTTACATATCCCAACTATAAATAACCACATATAAATGCATACCCATAAATACTGTCAACATAAGCAATCACAATGCATGCATATACAGTATATACAGTATATATATGTATATTATAGCTACAATCATTACATCTAAATACATATTATCATCATAACATGTACATATATATATATATATAGAAATTTTTATTATTAATTACCATCATTGTGACAACTATCATTATATAATCACATGTCTGTATGTATATATAAATATACATGTGTATATATTTCATTTTTTATACGATATCCCATTATTCTCCACCAAGCTGCGTGACCTCATTGCCTCGCACCTGGCGCAATGCCATGGTCTTCAGCAGTTGCAGCGTGCCTTGCCATGGTTGCCACGGCGCAAGGCCACTGAGGCCGCAGCTGTAGCTGAAAGTGTTCCTCGGTGCCCCAGTTGTTCAACCATGGTTAACCATGGTTAAGCAACAGAAATGTGGAATTTGACCATCAACTGGTTGGTGGTTTTAGTTTTAACCATCTTGAAAATATGAAAGTCAATGGGAAGGATTATCCCATATATTATGGAAAAATGTTTGAAACCACCAACCAGTCAAAAAAATGGATTGATATATGTGACTTTAAATGGAAGCTGGTTATTATGAGTTAATGATATTTAATGATACTTAATCCATAGCATTGGTATGGTTCATGGTAGGTCTATGATGATCTATGTGTTAGATTGTATATCGTTCATTAATATTCATGAAGGTCACCAACAAAATTGTCAAGGATCAACCACCCATTCCCAGGCAAACATGGGATTCTTTTCAAGGAAAACCTGGAAATCATGGATATCCTATCACCATCAATAAAAAACAACTTAAAGAATCTGAGTAAAGTCAGATGCTGTCAGAAAATTATCACAGAGGGTGTTCGGTGTCCGTCCCATCGCCAAGACATGCCAAGGCTCAAGCGCAAGAGTCGGCCAGTGGCATCTTCGAGGAGGAAAAGCCTGCAGCGGCATGCTCGATCTATAGATAATTTCCCAAACAAAACCTGGGAGGTCCAAATGCCATGCACATCGATGCACTATGAAGTGCAGGATATATGGGTATATGGGGTGGGACCCAGAAGATTCAGCTTTGATGTTCCAAATCAGTCGGAGATTCACGGTCTCTGCTGTCATTTAAACCATTTAAGCTACGTGTTTCTGCCTTGTCACTCATAAGTCTAAGCCATTGTCCGTGTCTAGACCCTCAAAACAGCCATCCACGCTGAAAAAAATGTATGACCTCAAGCATGCGTTTAACTTTGACCACCGCTATTGTTTTGTGGATACTCTGAGAATAGAGGTTTTGGGATGGTTGGCGTGCATCTGATGTATCTCAACTCGTCAGTAGTACGGTACCAGCTAACATTTCCAGCGCCGAGCTTCCCCATGCTCCAGTGACTTGACGCCTCACAGGCACTGATGCCTGGGCCAAGCATTTTGTGACATTGCTCTGGTGATTAATCAGTTAGATGTAGAAAACAAATGACAACGGCTCATTTATAAATGCTTTATTGATGATTCATTGATGCTTTATGGATGATTTATAGATATTTATATAGATGATTTGTTAATTATTTATTGATAATTTAATTTATATATTATTTATTATTATTGATAATTTGCAATATCAGACTACATACCCAATATCAGACTGGATGTGCTCCTGGCTCTCTTGTGAATCTTCCCGAAGTTTCCTCTCGAATGTGGAGTGGATTTAGTAGCTTGTTGGCCTTCACAAAGCACATGTGCATTTTTAAAGGGGTGGCGGTCGATTTGGCTGGGTATATACCATTATAGTAGCAAATGGCTGGGTAGCCATGCTAATAAATCAACCAGGAGTCAGGGGTTGACATTATTACTCATCTTTCCGCCACACATGAGACAGTGGATAACCACACATGACTGGGTCGCAATACAGCTGCATCTCGCCCTGCAACATTCCGCAACACTCTCTGATCATATCTGTCGGCAATTCGGGGTTGGCTTGGTACTCTAGTTCTCAAGACTGGTTACCTGGTTACCTAGCCGTTTCAATTCTGTCGATTTCTTCCCAATCGGGAACAGGGGATGGAACATTCCAGAATCACTGCAAACACCACCAAATAAACCGGACCATGGTCAGTTCTTTGTTGCCAATTATTTTTGCCTACTTTCTTGGCGGGGTGGTTCTACCGGGACATGTGGTACACGTTTCGCACCATGTTTCTACCACAACACCGGACAGCACCAACCCCAAAAAGCCGAGGAACAAGAAGTGCAGCTTATTACCTGATAACAAGAAGATGCTGCGTTTCTGGAAGTTTTACATCACCAAATCAGTTACACACAAACTGAGGCACCGTTCCCTCTTGGGGTACTTTCATGACTTCCATCTTATCGGATCTTGTCATCGACCAGCTCCGTGAAATATTAAATGGACATGGATGGGCATCGGTATGAGGAATCTTGACCTCAAACTGAAGCATGGCTGGACAAAGCGCTCACAAAATAATCGATGTTGGCGACTGTTCAGAGCGGACCTACTGGTTGTCAATCCCAACACCACATTTAATTGATAGCCAAGGCAAACATGTTGGTTTGCGATCTTGCCATAAGGCAATAAATGGATGTAAATGGGACATTGTGGGCTTAAAAACCGTTGTGAGTATCACAGCCACTTACAAAAGTGCCACAATCAAACGCATAGCACAAACACCCAAGATGAGTTTACGTGAATTCAGTGTCCATGCTCAAACGTTGCCCACTGTAAGAAACTATCGAATAGAAGCCAGGTCAAACCCAGCCTCATTTATCCTCAAAAAAAACAATTGCACCATGTGGTCTGTTTGGACATGGCTCAAAATTTCACCCTAAACCCTAAACATTTTCCCCCTAGGCATCTTAATTGGAAGTCTCTGCAACATGGCCGGCGTTCTGGGCCCTTCAAAGTATTCCATGTTTAGCGACGTGGTTTATCTCCCCACATGGGATCAACATCCCAGTTGTTGAATTGAAAAGAAACTACCTAGACGCTCCAAGTACCAAGACAAAAACATGTATATATATATATATATGTATATATATATATATATATGTGTATATATATATACATAATATGTATATATATATGTATATATATATGTATATATATATATATATTAAATTAATTGTAAATATACATGTTCCCATTGTGACTTGGACTTTTACCTGTTTCATGGCTACTTGGAGGGTCTATGGTCCGAACCAGCTGTCAGCCATGGTAAGCCAAGCAACGTCCATCGAGAATCCTGCTTTCTCAGGACCGCAGTACGAAGTCCTGATGGATCCCATGTTGGATCCGCTGGTTTCGTCTGGAAATCAAATTAATCAAATGCCCCCCGATAATTGATCATCATTTTCTCTTCAAAAATGGATGGCAAGTTGGGTGTATACTTCATGTTCAAATACATCCACTTGTTTGGGCATGTGTATGGCCCGAAAAAATGAGGGAATTGCTTGGGGTGCTTTGCTTCCTAGGACCGGGCAAGTTGACTTTGTAGAAATTAGTACTTGACACTGTTTTACTTCTGGGAAATGGATATACCCCTGGAGTATGTTAGCACTTTAACAAAGTAAAACACAGTCTTCTTATGAGGGTTTGTTCCCCACCTGCAAGGTGAGGGTCTTTAGATTTTAACACAGGTGCACCTCCTTCCTTCTCCTCCTCATCTTTGTTGTGTTCATCCCCTCTGCCAGCTCCGGATGCTGTTGAGTGCGTGTGGACCCGAACTCCATATAACCAGGCCAGGAGGCTGTGGAATGCGCCTGGACCCAAACACATGTCAGATAGACTGCCAGAAAGACTGCCAGATAGGATGCCAGAACATGTATGTGCCAGACAGAATGCCAGAAAGAATTTTAGAATAGATGCCAGATAGAATGTCAGAACATATGTCAAATAGAATGTCAGAATAGATGCCAAATAGAATGTCAAATCGAATTTCGGAATATGTGTCAGATAGAATGCCAGATAGAATGTCAGAATAATGTATCAGGGCGGGGATAACTAGAAACTAGAAGTGAAGCATTTTGTTTGTCAAAATGCTGTTTTTTGTGACCCACAACTTACAAACAACTTCCCGGACAAATCTGTCTGCACCCGGCCAAGTCAAGGTAGCAGCACCAATGAGGACCCTCCGTTAATTTCACAGTTTGCTGTCAAAAATCCCTAGTTTACTCGGAAATCCTCGACATGGATCAAATATATAAAGTCAAATGATGGACGATGATTTCCATAGAGTTCCGGTTCGCAGACAGTAACACATTAACCAAAGTGTGTATCTGCTCAGTGCCAGAAATATAGAACGGAAGTTGAGGAGTACGAAGGTACGGTCACCCACCGCGCCCCGCTGTTCCATAATTCTGTTTTCCTCGGATGGTATGAAAAAAACGTACCTTAACTTACTCCTATTTTTTTGTCATTCTATAATTCTGGTTTGTTCTATAATTGTGTTTTCCCCCATTTTCCCACATTTACCAGTTTCGTTCTATAATTATTTTTTCCGTTCTAGAATTAATTTTGCGGAAACCGTTCTATAATTATTTTTTCCGTTCTATAATTAATTTTGTGGAAACCGGTTTCCGTGTCACGTTTTTCCCGGGGTCCCAGAAAGATACATAAAATGATGCAAGTATATGTCAGTAACCTGAAAGAGTCATACAATCTGCCTGTTGCTGGCCGTTTCAATGGGAATCCGAGGATATATGGCAATAACAATTCCCTTTAAGCCTTAGTAGACCTTACATATGGGTTTTATGTGATAGGTACCTCTAATTTAAGCCCCTGAAATGGCCATTGAGGGTTTAAAAACACAACACGGAAAAATTAATTATAGAACGGAAAAATAATTATGGAACGGAAAAAGTAATTTTAGAACGGAAAAAAATATAGAACAGGACCCGAATCCGCGCGGAATCGGGATCCGGAGGAGTATACGAAGGTACGTTATTTTACCGTACTTTTGTACTCCTGATTCCGTTCTATAATTCTGGCACCGACTGTATATATATATATACACAATACCCCATTGATAATGGTTAAATCACAATTTTGGTGCCTGGGTCAAGCCTGGTACTGTATCCATTTGCATCTCGATATCAAATCCCATCCTTGCAGCCCAGAATCCACAAGGCCAACTGCCATTGCCCCGCCGCACCGAAAGCACACCTGGCAGATTTGAAGGTGTCCCGGTTGCGCACTGGGAAAGGTATTTAGACCATGATAAAAATGCACTTTGGATATGTCGTTTAATGGTTTCTTGGATCATCTTTGGCACTGTTGGAAAATCTAAATTTGGCAAATGGCATAATCTGTGAAGATTTTGTTTGTTTTTATGTTTTTTTCAGTAAAACCGTTCTATTATCACCATTCAACTCCAAGATCTCCTAAGCATAGGTGAACAACAATGGATATACCGTTAAAATGAAAGTTAGAATGCCTCCGCGAATTCCAAATATTCCTCCCCCTCAGTTAGAATGCGGCACGCGCACGGCAAAAAATCATTCAGTTAGAATGCCTCCGCACCCGGGTTTTAAGTTTTTTGTTGTTTTCGGAAAACTCTTTGCACAAATCCCTCACTATGACTATCATCAGATGTTAGAATGCAGTTAGAATGCTTCCCCCTTGAAATTGCTTTCTACCAGCATTTCAGCAATTAGAACGCTTCCCGCTTGAAATTGCTTTGCCAGCATTTCAGCAGTTAGAATGTTTCCCCCTTGAAATTGTTTTTTACCAGCATTTCATCAGTTAGAACGCTTCCCCCTTGAAGTTGCTTTTACACAAGCATTTCAGCAGTTGGAATGCTTCCCCCTTGAAATTGCTTTTGCCAGCATTTCAGCTGTTAGAATGCGTCCCCCTTGAAAAGCTTTTTACCAGCATTTCATCAGTTAGAATGCTTCCCCCTTCATATTGTTTTTTACACAAGCATTTCAGCAGTTAGAATGCTTCCCCCTTGAAATTGCTTTCTACCAGCATTTCTGCAATTAGAACGCTTCCCCCTTGAAATTGCTTTTGCCAGCGTTTCAGCAGTTTGAATGCTTCCCAGCATTTCAGCAGTTAGAATGCTTTCCCCTTGAAATTGCTTTCTACCAGCATTTCAGCAATTAGAACGCTTCCCCCTTGAAATTGTTTTCTACCAGCATTTCAGCAATTTGAACGCTTCCCCCTTGAAATAACTTTTGCCAGCATTTCAGCGGCTAGAATGCTTCCCAGCATTTCAGCAGCCTTGAAATTGCTTTTTACCAGCTTTTCATCAGTTAGAATGCTTCCCCCTTGAAATTGCTTTTTACCAGCCTTTCAGCAGTTAGAATGCTTCCCCCCTTCAAAATTCTACCTTTCAGTACGTATTATGCTGGTAAATGTGGATAAAAATGTTCAAACATTGTTTGATCAAATTTGCCTACCTGTTGTGCCGGGACCACCAAACCTTTCTTTTTTGTAGGGTTAGAATGCCTCCGCAGCATATGCCCCCAAAACTTCTGAATTATATATATATATATATATAGATTTTAAATACATAAATTAAATTTTGGTCCCCAATGACGGTTGAGATAAGTACTTACCACAGTTTGATATCATCATCATACACCCTACATCAACCAAATCCCTGAAAAATCCGGGTCGGGCTATCAAAACCTTGTTTTGAGTTCGTTTCGGCTAAAAAACAAATTTTAGTCAACAACACCTTTGATGAAGCAGCTTCACCACAATCCGCCAAAAAAGACGCCGAAAACCTGTAAAAACTAATCCAAACCCAAAAAACCCGTAAAAACCGTAGTCCAAGACCGACCAAAAGCTTGGTATGCCTCCGCAGCATATGCCCCCAAAACTTCTGAATTCTATAAATATATATATGTATAATTATATATATATATAGATTTAAAATACATAAATGAAATTTTGGTCCCCAATGACGGTTGAGATAAGTACTTACCACAGTTTGATATCATCATCATACACCCTACATCAACCAAATCCCTGAAAAACCCGGGTCGAGCTATCAAAACCTTGTTTTGAGTTGGTTTCGGCTAAAAAACAAATTTTAGTCAACAAAACCTTTGATGGAGCAGCTTCGCCACAATCCGCCAAAAAAGACGCCGAAAACCTGTAAAAACTCATCCAAACCCATAAAAACCCGTAGAAACCGTAGTCCAAAACCGACCAAAAGCTTGGTATGCCTCCGCAGCATATGCCCCCAAAACTTCTGAATTATATATATATATATATATAGATTTTAAATACATAAATGAAATTTTGGTCCCCAATGACGGTTGAGATAAGTACTTACCACAGTTTGATATCATCATCATACACCCTACATCAACCAAATCCCTGAAAAACCCGGGTCGAGCTATCAAAACCTTGTTTTGAGTTGGTTTCGGCTAAAAAACAAATTTTAGTCAACAAAACCTTTGATGGAGCAGCTTCGCCACAATCCGCCAAAAAAGACGCCGAAAACCTGTAAAAACTCATCCAAACCCATAAAAACCCGTAGAAACCGTAGTCCAAAACCGACCAAAAGCTTGGTTTGCCGGGGCCACCAAACCTTGCTTTTTGTAGGGTTAGAATGCCTCCGCAGCATATGCCCCCAAAACTTCTGAATTCTATATAGATTTTAAATATATAAATGAAATCTTGGTCCGCAATGACGGTTGAGATAAGTACTTACCACAGTTTGATATCATCATCATATATCCTACATCAACCAAATCCCTGAAAAATCCGGGTCGGGCTATCAAAACCTTGTTTTGAGTTGGTTTCTGCAAAAAAAACAAATTTTAGTCAACAAAACCTTTGATGAAGCAGCTTCGCCACAATCCGCAAAAAAAACTGCCGAAAACCTGTAAAAACTCATCAAAACCCATAAAAACCCGTAAAAAAACAATAGTCCAAAACCGACCAAAGACTTGATTTGCCGGGGCCACCAAACCTTGTTTTTTGTAGGGTTAGAATGCCTCCGCAGCATATGCCCCCAAAACTTCTGAATTATATATATATATATAGATTTTAAATACATAAATGACATTTTGGTCCCCAATGACGGTTGAGATCCATTATTTTTCATTGGTTTTCATTATTTTGACGACGTTTTTCATTATTTTTCATTGTTTTTTCATTATATGGTAGAACATAGATACATAGATACTGTTTACATAGATGCATGCATATATACCGCAGGACTGGAAGTTATAATGCAACCTTGGTGGAAAGACATGGATTTCAAGAAAAAACAGGCGTACTGCGTGAGAATTCCGGGAGGCATTCTAACGTTATTTAATCCTCAAACCCATTTAAAAAATCCGGGGCGGCCTTCAGTGATTTTTCAGTATTTTGAAGATGTGTTCATTATTTTTCAGTGATTTTCATTATTTTGAAGATGTGTTTCATTGATGTTTCATTATTTTGAATATGGTTTTCATTATTTTTCCAGGGGGTTCATGATTTTAAGAAGTTTTTGATTATTGATTATTGTCAATTATTGTTCATTGATTTTTCATTATTGCTCATTGATTTTTCATTATTTTCAAGACGTTGCTCATTATTTTCATGGATGCTTCATTATTTTTAAGATGTGTTTCATTATTTTTCATTGATTTTTCAATGTTGTTGCATGTGTTTCATTGATTTTTCAGTGTTTTAAAGGCATTCTTCATGATTTTTCATTATGTTTTGTTTTTTCAATTTACATGCATATTCTGCATATTTGCAGTGCCATATACATGGAAGACACGGGACGGTCGAGAATGCGTTAAGAATTTTGGAGTTTTAGGGGTTTCAGGACTAAATAAATAAGGTTAGAGTGCCTCCCGGATTTTTCACGCGGTACGCGGGTCTTTTCTTGAAATCCACATCTTTCCACCAAAGCGGCATTCTAACTTCCAGTCCTGGGGTATAGTTAGAATGCGTTCCGCTTGAAATTGCTTTTTACAAGCATTTCAGCAGTTAGAATGCTTCCCTCTTGAATTTGCTTTCTACCAGCATTTCAGAAATTAGAACGCTTTCCCCTTGAAATTGCTTTTGCCAGCATTTCAGCAGTTAGAATGCTTCCCAGCATTTCAGCAGTTAAAATGTTTCCCACTTGAAGTTGCTTTTTACACACGCATTTCAGCAATTAGAATGCTTTTCTTGAAATTGTTTTTTACCAGCATTTCAGCAGTTAGAATGCTTCCCCCCTTGAAATTGTTTTTTACCAGCTTTTCAGCAGTTAGAATGCTTCCCCGTTGAAATTACTTTTTACCAGCATTTCAGCAGTTAGAATGCGTCCCCCCTAGAAATGTTTTTTTACCAGCATTTCATCAGTTAGAATGTTTCCCGGTTGAAAATGTGTTTTTTTTTTTTACCAGCCTTTCAGCAGTTTGAATGCTTCCCCCTTCAAGTTGTTTTTTACACAAGCATTTCAGCAGTTGGAATGCTTCCCCCTTGAAATTGTTTTCTACCAGCATTTCCGCAAATAGAATGGTTCCCCTTTGAAATTGTTTTTACCAGCATTTCAGCAGTTAGAATGCTTCCCAGCATTTCAGCAGTTAGAATGCTTTCCCCTTCAAGTTGTACAGATATGTGCAAAAACGCGTGTGTTAAAAAAATATATATATATATTTAAAATCCCAATGGGATACATAGAATACAAAATCGATAATTTTGGCCTCAAAAACATCTCCCGGAATCGGTAAAAAATCCTATACATAGAATAAAAACATGTTCCGGAATCGAAAAAAACAACATATACATAGAATATTTCCGGCTATCCATTTTGATCCAGGAAAATAAATCTTTTCAGGTTTTTGACAGAAGCATGGATTGCTGCAGCCGCCTGTGATTCAAACCAGTTACAAAAAGGGACAACTGCGATTTCAGCAGGGGAAACAACAGATAGAATGCCTCCCCGGGAACTACAGCAGATATAGATCAATGAAAAAGACATAGAAGAAAAGGAAGGGTAAGGAACAATATAGAAGAAGAGGAGAAAAGGGAAGAGGGTAAGATCGAAAAAGAGACAAGGGCACTCCAGGTTCCCTGCGGGTCGGAAACATATGGCTACAGCAGGGAAAACAGCAGATAGAATGCCTCGCCGGAAACTACAGCAGATATAGATCAATGAAAAAAACATAGAAGAAAAGGAAGGGTAAGGAACAATATAGAAGAAGAGGAGAAAAGGGAAGAGGATAAGG